CTGTTTTGTGGTTTAGAAGAAAAAAAAACGATGAAACAATTATTGCCTTACTTGCAGGATGGGTTTTCTCGATTGAATAGTTGGCTGAACTGGAGAAAAGAGAAGATGTCGGTATTTCACTTGGAAGATAAAGACTGTGAGATGTGTTAGGAGTCCGATTTTGGGTTGAATGAAAATCATAATTTAGAATCGTGATTGATTCTATCTTTATTAAATCACGAAGCCTTAATTGATATTTTCCATTATTGATTTGCCACATGGCCTAATGCAGATTTATGAATTGATTAATTAGAATAATGGTAGAAAACGTTGATATTCCTAATGGGAAGGTTTAATTTCTTCATAATTTTGCTTCTGTTTGTTAACGTTCCCATCAAATGAATGTTTTCTTGATTAAGTTAATGAATTGATTACTGATTACTGATAAAAAAGTTCCCACCAAATGGAAAAAGTCATAGGGTCCAATTTTCTATTATTGTAGTTGACAGGTCTTTTCTTGTGATTATTCCAAGGCATTAACAGGGGTAGAATTGAAAACTTTGGTTGACTTCGGTTCCAGCTTTTAGTTGAATCAAACAACTGGAATCGGAATTTGACTGAACCAAACAGATGCCAGGAATGGACCATTCCGATTCCAATTCCGGAGGATTTTGATTTCGATTCCAATTCCAATTCCAGCTGCGAACCAAACGAACCCTAAGAGGCGTATTGGCCCTGTTTTCCTATCACATTTCCTCTCACAATTTGTGAAGTAGTGGGTCAGGCATGATGACCCTTTCATAAGAGAGGGAAATGGCATTGATGACATAACTTTATGAGGGAGTAAGAAAGGCTAAAATGAAAGGAGCAGAGAGTTCATTGGAATAACAGATAAAGCTCATGCCACCTACATGACACCTTCTACTTTAATATATATTTAAATTCATCCAATCGGTTATTATTGGGTTAGACCTAATTAACCAAAGTAATTATCGATTCGACATTGGGTTTAAAAATATTGTTCCAATAAGATGTGGTACAAGGTTGGGACTTGGGACAACCTAATTTCTTATTGGTTCTAAGATAGTTCCACCCTGTCTCGAACCAGATTCGACCTGGTCTTTGTTATCGCTATTCGCTAATGACTAATCAGCCAATTTAATCGGATCCGGTTCTGTCCCAATTCCTCATATCGCTTTTCCTGTTTTCCGTATCTATGTTCCGCTCACATCCCCCAAGCCCTAAATGATTTTATCTCTAAAAAGTATATCATACATTAAGTGGTAAAAAAAGTTATTAAGAAGTATTTTTTTAAAGAATTTAGAGAAAAAGTGATGAGATTGGCTTTTTTGTTTTTTTTTTTCCTCAGCACTTATTGGAAAAGTCTTTTTTGAAAATGTATGGAACGATTCAATCCCTAAATAATTTATTTAATACCCATTTTGCCCCTATACGAGGGTTTTCTTCTCTCTCCTATTCGAACACAGCAACTAGGGCTGTTCATAAGAAGGCCCAACCCGACCAACCCGAACCGACCCAATCCGAGTCGGTCGGGTTTTCATCAGCACTGGTCGGTTTCGGGTTGGGCAAAATCATAAACCGATATATCTGGTTGTTTTCTGTTTTCTTATGTAAAAACCGAAACCGACCCGAACCAAACCGAACCAATTAGTTTTATAGTTCGGTAGTTCCTAGTTTCCCATTTAACTAGTCTTCTACTAAAACTAGAACAGCCCTATCTTCTAGTTCTTACTTAACTAAATTGTATATATCATAATTTCTATAGTCTTTTACACCAAATAAGCAACCCATTAGGCAATTACAATTAGAATTAGGTGTCCTTCTAGTTCTAGGCTTTTCTATCATTTTTGTACAGGAGCAAAACCGAAACCGACCCAACCTGACTCAAACTGACCAGGTCGGTTTTGCCTATCAGTGGGTTGGTTTCGGTTTCCACCTCATGTAACCCGACCAGGTCGGGTCGGTTGGGAAAACCCCTGTAAACCGACCCAACCCGACCCATGAACAACCCTAACAGCAACCAAAGGGCGGCTACTGCAATTGCAAGCCCTGGTTGGACCGCCTCTTCCTGATGAGTCCAAACTCCAGAGGTGAGAAACTGCAACTAACTACGAACTGGGGGTGTTTTAGTAATAACACCTCTGCCAGCTTTACACATGCATGCGCTGGAAACTCGTGCGAGTCCACGAAACGTCCGTTAAGTGCAAGTAATAAAGCTTTTTTTATAATTATTTTTCGCAGGGTTTAATACAATTATTCAAACTCAAACCCGAATTGCTCTTCATCTTCCTCCTCCTATCTTCCGCCGTGTTCTTACTTCCGAGGAGCTCTCTCCTGTTGTTGCAACAACGCATACCACTTCCATTGCAGATCTGGCTCGAATACTAACTTTTTGTTTGCAATCCAACTCTTGATCAGCACACACCACACAAACTTAGAAGCCTAGGTTGCTTCTTGTTCCCCTTCTTCCTTGAACCGACGAGCGTCAACTTAGTCGTGTCCTCACCTTCAAACATTTTAGCAACTACAGCGTTGTTGTTTCCTCCGTAGCAAAGCTTTGATGCAATTGCGCTCTTTATGAATATTCCTCTATCGGCAATTGCAGAGGTTGCGGGTTTTCTTAGTATAGCTTGGCTAATTTGTTGGTTTTATAACTATTTGCTTAAGAGTGAGCTACATCAAGGATCGGTGGGGATTCCGTTAGGGCGTATCAGACTGATTGAGAGGCATATCTCGGGAAAACTGATCAAAAGTTATTTATGGTAGGACCATCCCTATGCTTCTGCTTTGATTCTGCTTACATTAGCACAGTAATGGTCAGTAATTTAGTCGAGTTAGAAAGTCAAAATTGTTGAAGGTGTAGTGGTGTAGCGTGTGAGAGAGGATGTGATTACGGTGAAAGGGATGGTAGAATCCATCGTATCGACGCCAAAACAGTTGCCGAATAGGTGGGCGAATTTTAAAAATTTTATACCTATATTTCAACTAGGAATCACATTCCCTAATTTTAGAATCAAGATTCAATGATTATACTTGAACCAGAACCAAACCAGATCTGAACCAAAAGTGAAGGGAGTAATTATACCTGATCTAGAGAAAAATTTCTCCCAAAGTTGGTGTTCACCCCCAAATAATGAACCAAAATCTGCTCATTCTGAAGATGACACAACAACTGTGGAACAGAACCAGCAGAGTGTGTCATACACACTGAATCCTTCACAATAATCCTTTGGATGACAATGAGCACCAAACCGAATCAGCCTTTCAACAAAGACTGATATCAATAACTTTTCTTGATGTTTCTCTGACAGAGAAAATGAACTGTGACAGATGATGGCGGCTGCAACTAAAGGGAACTAGAGAAATAGATGGCAAACTGCTTTTCTTTTCTCTAGGGTTTCTGAGATCCTATCTCACAAAACTTCAGGCTGTGTCCTGTCTCCCTAGGGTTCGAATTCTTGTAATTCAATTAGGGTTTCCTTCAGTTGCTTAATGATTAGGAAATGATTTTTTGATCATATCAGGAGTTGCCCTTATCCAAAACTGTATTTGGATTAGGACTCTTCTTAATCCTATCTGCAGATTATATAAGATTTTGGGCTCATCATAATCTCATATCCGCCTCTTAATAATGACTGATCAAATCAGCCTAGTTCGAAATGGGCTTTTGGCCTAATAAGGTTATGTGCTCAAAAGTTTTCCAAACTGCTGCCCAGTTGGGCTTCTTTATATGGTGTGGGACTCAAGCATTGATCTACACACCAGCCACATGGGTTCGGCCTAGCCTTTGTTACAAAGCCTGGCCAAATTCACTAGAGAGCCTAGTGAACCCCCTGGGCCCATCACATGGACCCTGTGGCCCCAACACTTACACTAAGTGGTCATTGGGCCAAGCCATCTTATAAAAACCTAGGGACTATGGGAAGACGCAAGATTAGCTCATCAGGTGTTATCCCAAATGGCTTTACACTTAACATCTCAGCCCATAATGATCAAGCACTGCCCGACAAGAGATAATCTCTCCCTCAGCTGCAATGAACAGTGCTGCACTCTTCACTTACATGGATCATGGAAATTAAAACCATTTGCAAACAATTTTGAAAGCATACTTAAATATATATCTTATATATAAATTTTGCAAAACAAAATTCCAACGATTGAAATCAACTGTCAGCAGTTTGGTTTCCATCAGAGAGAGTGCATCCCCGATCATTACCTTTGTCCGACAAAGGGGCTGAATCCGTCACTATGATTACTCATTCAGATGAATTATCAGAATCTCCCAACATACATAAGTTTTGACCCCCGCTAAGGATCTCATTGATTGGTATATCAAAGACAGTCAAATCCGACACCTAGTGCAGTACCATAATCGGGTTTAGGGTTCAGGTGTAAATTTATAGTTTTGCCCATCAATCTCCAAGGTCCAGGATAATACTGGAAATCTAGTATGGTTTAAGGGTTCAAGTAATTCTACACTGCATGTGCCTTGGGTCTCAACCTGGCGGCTGAAACAAGCCACCCCAACAGTTGGCAGCACACCAGTGCCAGCTTTGGCAGGATAAATCTCCCCAGACTTATCCAATGGCTGTAAACATTTAAAACCAACACAAGTCTCATTAAGTGTCAAGTTTTAGGGTCTTACACAGAAGTATACCACACAACCTGAATCAAACATGTACTTCATTTATTTATATTAAATATCAAAAGTACATCAAAACTGATTGAAGATAAGGGCATACAAAAACTCTAACATACGGTTTTTGTTTAATAGGCGAGAATGAATATTCATTTTAGGGAAGTAGCCCTGTAGCTGAACATCGCTGTTTGACTTAACGGTTCTTGTTTTACAGGCTCGCACGAGTCTTTTCTTGCGCGCCTTTGAGAGGGGTATTCCTGTGATTTCCGCCGAAGAAAATAAGGTTATATTTAATTAAAAAAGAAAAAAGCATATTTTATTCTTTATTTATTATATATATAAATTACCTTTTAATTTCTTTTTCGTTTCCGTTTTCTCTCTCTCGTTCTCCCTTCTCTTCGCTCTCGCCAGCAGTAGAAGCTCCTGTGCTCCGAAGAAGCCAAAGGCAAGGTAGGAACCTCATACGCTCTTTTCTTCTGGTTGTGCTTCTGTATTTTTCTTAGGTTTGCCCTTTTCTTCTTCTTCCGAAAATTTCGCTACGAAATTCCAAGAAATTCGATTTTGTTTGTCGAATCTCTGGAACTAGATTCTGGACTTCAAATGCGAAACCCTAGACATGGTTTCATTGAAGAAGAAGCTTTTATCCTGGGGTTCGTTCTTCAAGGATGGTTTCATGTCTTGGCTTGAGGGCCTCAGTTTGTTTCTTTCATGGATCGACTAAGCTTGCACTGTTGAACTCTAGTTCGCAAGCTAGTTTTTAGTTAAATATCGACGTCATTTGTTTTTTTTTTCTTTGCATCCAAGTTTTTAGCTTTCTGATGCTCTAGGCAATGGCTTAGCGAGTGCTAACTGGAAATGGAGAGTTCCAATATCATAATACGTTAAAGAACCATGTGGAGATTGTTTGATATGCAATTGGAGGATATGAATTAAAGACACTGAAATTCTATACCAGGGTAAACTTATAGAAGCTTCTGAAGGGATTTGATAACTTTGTTATCAGTGTTTGGGCACTTATGCTTGCTATATTGTTTCTAGAAATTGGATTTCTTTTTCTATAATTGGAAACAAAGAGGAACTAAGATTATCATCGCCTAACTTAATGAACATAAACCCATGGATTAAAAAGAAAATGATTCATGCATAGGGTGACAATGATGAACGTGATATTTGAATGGGATTTCAATGATTACTACCACACGTTGTAGGAGTCCTCGAGGAATTCTTTTAAAATGAATCCATAAATATGTATATCTATTTATGATAGGTAACCAAAAAAATAGCAATTACCACAATGTTGGTCAGTTGATCCTAGCTATCTGGGGTCTTGGGAGGGGTATACTGGGTATGATTTTAACCTTTGGCATTTTTAACCCTGTTCAGAAGTTTGGACCATACTGTTCATCCTACTTGGAATCTGGAGCAAAAGCTATAGACATAGGATTTAAGACCCAAACCCCTGTTTGTGTGAGAATTAAGGATTTAAGACCCGAACATGAACTTGTTTGAGTTTGTCTCGAGGGGCGTGGCACAAAGGCGACTTGTAGAATCGGGAATGTAATATGTTTTACATCACATTAGCCACTTGAAGTAATGCAATTGAGGAAAAAAAGAGATTGTGGGCTTTACATGCTTGAAAATGTTTTATATGTTTGATTTATTTTTAAATTTTCATTTGAATATGCTTTACATGTTATGTTTATGTATTTTAATTTTAGATAATAGGTTTTTTAAACCATTAATTTTAAAATTTAAGTTTATATTTCTTATTAATATTGTTTAATATTTTTTTTGCATTTTTTGAAAATTTTGGATTTTTTTTTGAATTTTTAGCAATTTCTTGTATTTTTCTGCCTTGCTTCAAAAAGGCATGCGCCTCGCTTTGTGCCTCTCGCCTCAGGTGCAAAATGGCCCTTGTGCCTTTTGCGCCTTGCGCTTTTAAAACACTGGATTTAGATGACTCAAGGGGGAGAGAAGGTCTAGAGTATCTGGTAGCAAACACCACGGAAGGCTTGGATGATTCAAGTGTAAGGGAGAATATCTCTGAGTTGAGTGATTCAGTGGCTGGATTTGTGGAAAAACTTGGTTGCAGATTGAAAAAACCAAATGATTTAAAAATTTACTCAAGAAAAAATAAGGAGGATGGGAAAATTAGGAAGAGAAAGTTAAATGAAATGGAATGATTGAGAAGAGATGTGGAGAGAGATAAGGAGTTTAGTGAGAGTAGGGGGAGAATCAAAGGGAATAGGTAGATTGAGTAAGAGGAAGGGTAGGAAGAATGAAGATAATCAGTTGGAATGTTAGAGGTTTAGGGAGGGCAGGAAAGAGATCCATTGTCAAAGAAGTGTTCAGAAGAGAGAAGCTGGACTTAGTGCTAATCTAAGAATCCAAGTTAGCTGAATTTGATAGGAGATGGATTAGAAATATTTGGAAAGAAAGGGGGCTGAATTGGGCTGCTTCTTCATGGGGATCTTGTGGTGGTACAGTGACTGTATGGAATAGTGAGACATTAACTGGACTAGAAGAACTAGTGAGCAAATTCATCGTCTCAATCAAATTCAAACAGGTGAGTGATGGTTTTGAATGGGTGATGACTAATGTTTATGGCCCAGGCGGATACATGGATGGTTTTACAGTGGCCTTTTACCAGGACCGTTGGGTGATCTTGAAAGATAATATTCCAAGGGTGTTCCTAGAGTTTTATGTTAGATGGGTGATTATAAGGTTCTAAATGTCAGTGTTGGTGGAAATGTTGGTCGTCTAAATATAAGAAACATGTTGGAAATGTTGGAAATATCAAATGGAAATATTGTAAAAATTATAGACATAGTGGAAATATTGTAAATATGCAAAATATATAATGACATTTTATGAAATGATAAAAGAAGCATAGTCACACCCTTTTAAATTATTATCTTATTCCAAATCACTAGACAAAGCTAAGAAACTAAGGTTATAGACAAAAGAGTATGTTCAGAAGTTGCCTTGTAAACCTTAAGATTCAAAGCTTCATGATAGAGTGAGTTAAACCAGAATTTAAACTCACAAAAAATGTATATGGTTGTAATAGATCAACTAAATAATCTATTAGACAAAGAAAAACTAATATTTGATTTAATGCATTAAATGAATATTTATAGCTCAAAGTGGTAATCATGTAAGTTAGGAGGGCAATAACATTGTTACTCCACATATCTACAATATTATTACCAACTTATGTTATAATACTATCTCTTGTACTCCATATAGTGCTGGTAGTGTTCACTAGGGAATATGTATGTCATGGAAACTATCTCTTGTACTCCACATGTAGTGTTCATTGGGGAATATGTCGATTCCGGTAAAATTTCGTGTCACTATCCATGGAAATGGAAATATGTCGTGGAAATATTAGGGAAATTGGGGACATTTTAAACGATCATTGATTAATTTGAGTCTTAATTCCACTTTCATTGCTTTGATTCATAAAAAAGGGTGATACGGTGCTTCTGAAGGATTTTAGATCAACTAGTTTGATCAATAGTCTTTATAAAAGTCATTGCTAAAAGGCTCTACATAAGGGTGAGGACCATCCTTCCATCCATTATTTCATAGGCTCAAGGGGCTTTTCTATAGTATAGGCAAATCACTGATCATATCTTAATTGCAAATTAGAGTGTTGAGGAGATGAAGAGGAACGAAAGGAAAGGTTTTATTTGTAAGTTGGATCTGGAGAAGGCTTATGATTTGGTTGACTGGAACTTGCTATTGGAGGTAGTGAAAAACTATGGCTTTGGTGATAGATGGAATAAATGGATCATGGAATGTGCTAGGACTTGCCGTTATTCAATTTTGGTGAATGGAATGGTTGTGGACCACTTTCTAGCCCTGAGGTCTAAGACAAGGTGACCCTCTTTCTCCTTTCTTCTCTGCTTTACTTGCAGATGTGCTCAAAATATTAATCTCTAGAGTGGACTCTAGGAATCTGATTAGAGGTTGGAGGATAGCAAGTGATGTGGTTTCAATCACTTATTTGCAATTTGCTGATGATACGATCCTTTATTGTGAAGGGGGCGATAATAGAAGGGTTGGGAACTTAAAGTGGATTGTGAAAACCTTTGAGCAAATGTTTAATATGAAGATCAACCTTGATAAAATTTGCGTTGTGGGTTTGAATATGGAGGAGATGAAGATATTAGAGGGTGCAAAAATATTGGGTTGTACGGTTTCCCAATGGCCTATGGCCTATTTGCCTTTGGGGGATAATCCAAGAGCCAAGAGTTTTTGGAACTCTGTGATTGGAAGATTTACAAAAAGAATGACCTCTTGTAAAAAAAAAGCTTTCTTTGGGTGGTAAGATGACCTTAATTAGGTTAACACTTGCAAACCTGCCTATGTATTATCTCTTTGTGTTGAGGATCCTAATGGGGTTAAGTAGAAGGATTGAAAAGTTGATGAGGGACTTTTTATGGCCAATTGTCTATCCAACCTCAGCCACTCCAATCCTTCCACCCTAATCCTTCTACCTTCCTGCCTTTTACTACCTTGAAGTGATCCACAAAACATTTAGCAATCCTTTTGTGATCCTTGAAGGTTTCCCTGTCCACTTGGCAACAAAATTCTTCTCGTCCCGTTAGCAATTGCGTGGAAAAATTTTGTATTACCATCCCCCTCCTTGATCCATTTGTCTTGATTTCTATCTCAAACATATCACTTCTCTTAATAATATTTCTTTTAGTTCCTTCTTTAAAGTCCATCTCAGACTGCTTTCCTCCTTAGTTAAAATGCTGAAAGTTTCCTTGTCATCCAATTGTTCAATACTAGAGGTCACATTTAATTTATTTTCCTCAATTCTTCCGAACTGATCCCTATTCCATTCCTTGATTATAGATTCCAGCCTTTGTAATTTCTTGTGGAATAACACTCCTTTCCATTGGAAATCTCTCATCTCCTCCCTCCACCACTCCACTCTATGTTGGAAGTCTGAATGTATAAGCCACCACATGTTTTCTAATGTAAAGGGGGTGGGGCCACTTGAGAAGTCCTCTGTTTCATTCCTAATTGGGCAATGATCAAAAGTGACTCTCAGTAGTGCCCTAGCCATCAATCTTCCCCAATAGTCCTCCCACACACCAATACACCATTAAATATTTCCAACAACAAGGGGAACTCTGTAAGTTGGACCAAGTAAGCATACACCGTCGCAAAGGTATGTCTTTTAGCTCACAGAACTTGTTGAATTCGTTAAATTTTCTCATACTGGAAGTGATTTATTGCTTGGTATTGTTCGTTTAATTGGTGAATCTAATTACATTAAAATCTCCCCCAAGACACTAACCCCCTTCCCAAAGTCCCCTGATATCAAACAATTCCTCCCACATACCATTTCTTTCTCTTTAACTGTTTGGCCCATAGACATTGTTCAAGACCCAAGTGAAACCATCCCCAACATTCTTGAATTTCACTGAGAT